ATTGAACGATTACCATTAAATTATAAATTCGCTGAAACAACAGAAGTTACGGAAGACGAACCAAATATTATTCTTGGATTAGATGATGATTCAACAACATCAATTGAAGGTATCGAAGTCAAACAAACAGCTGATCAAACTGATGTTATTGATTTTGATACTGTAAAAAACTTTGTTTCACTTTCTTAATTTTTAGTTGTATCTATTTCTAAATCTATGTAGGAAGCAGAAATTGATTGGTCTGCTATTGATACAGTACCAGAATTACTTGATCCAGCTCTTTCATCGAATGGGGATCATCCGAATTTACTTGTTGATGCTCTTCGAGAAGCTGCTCTAAATGGATCGAATCATCCAAGTATGTTATTTGATGTCTTCTGCTTTTCTTTTTCTAAAGAATAGAACATTTTATTTCTTTGACTAGTTGATGATGGTATTGCGCGTGGTAATGATGCATTGACATTATTAGAAAATCGTGCAACATATACATTATTTATTCATGAACTCCATCGAGTTAGTTTAATTCATATCATATCGAAATTATAAATAATTTTTCTTCGTTCTATTTCGAAGCTTCAATCATTTTTGAAACAACGTCTCAATGAATATCATGTCAATGAAACTATTCTTATGACATTTATCATGCAAAATGCGCCTACATCAATACAAAAGATAAATGAAAATGGTTAGAAAATCATTTCAAACGTTATCTTTTATTTTTTTTTATTAAAGATTTAAAAACTTATTTGAAAAATGTTGATTCGATATTTCAATCAATTAGTCATCGACAATTGGATCGTTTATTTTCGATGCGGGATTCCTACAAATTTGTTGATCGTCTTATAAATTGTTTTCAACAAAAGAAACTTTCAATTGAAAGAAATCGTTTCCAAGAAAAAGAATTAGAAGAAAAAGCTTCAAGTTCTTTAACAGAAGAACAGCAATTGAAAGAAAAACTCAATCTACTAATTTCATACACTAAACAATTGAAAGAACAGGTTACATCGATTTTTCTTTAAATGGATAAAAGATTTCTATGAAATAGTTTTAGGTAGCGAAAGAAATTTCTGTGAAAAAATGTCAAAATCGACGTATCAATATAATGGGTGAAATCAATACATTATAAAAATATTTAACTTATTTATTCTTTTCGAAAATTTTGTGCAATCTGTGTGTGTGTTGAATTTTATTTGGAGAAAATGGGTTTTATTATGGTCCATAAAGAAATAAAACAGTTGAAACAAATTTTTGAACCACATTCCCGTTATATTAATATCTTTTCAGTCTAAAGGAAATTCAATTCTCCTCATCTTTCCATAAATTGTCCATAATTAAATGCATTAACAGTCATTTATCATCTATTGATTTGAATACAGTCGGTCACTAATAACTTAAGAATTATTTAATATTTCAATGTCATATTAATATTTTTGTACACAAATAGGTGATATAAATGTATTGAATTTCAAAATTATTAATCACAACATGAGATATGTGCATATGTTTTTGAAAGCTGATGAGCAGGAGAAAAACAATCAATGACATTAGAAGGAAAACAGTTGTATGAAACAACCAAATAACTACTGCAATTATTTGTATTACTCGATGAACCTAAATAATTAACCAAGTTTTTTTCTTTGATTAGAATAAAATTTAATTTATACTTGAATTCGGTTGTGGTTCTTTAACAACAAGATTAATACAACATTTATTACAAAACGAAGAACCACTCAATAAAAGTGATTTTGCACGTGGATAACGCCAGACAATCGCTGACACTTTGAATAGAGAAAATTTTATGATTATTAAAAATTTTATTTTATTAAAAACTTTCCGTTGAAGTTTATGACATGGAGCTACTTTTTTCAAATTTTCATCGAGTATATCTTTTGGTAATACAAGAACCAATGGATAGCTAGAAAAATAAATGAATGTAAGTTTGAAAACTTCACTTGAATTTCCATTTTTGTGTCTCTTGATATCATTCGGAAAGTATATGATCATGCCGTTCTCTTCTAAGCTACTATGACCATAATATTCCATTTCCACGGTGAATAGAGAATATTATTCGTATTTAATCTTATTTTATTTGATTACTATTCACCTGAGGCTTCGCTACATTGATCTTGAAAGCTTCTCGGTCCTATTTGATTCGATTTGAGTCACACAAATATTTTATCTTCGGCAGAAACTAAAATTTTGGTGAATATGTGATATTCGAAATGAATCATCGCTCGTAGTCATGAATGTATCAATCATTGACATTGTATTCATTGCTATTGTTGAGTTGATTCCATTATTATTATTTCTATTCGTTGAATGAATTAATTGTTGTCCATTCAAATTATTCTCAATCATATTTGATGAACCAGTTAATGAAATAGCTGATGTAAGTGATGTAACAGTTGTTCTACGTATTGTTGAACGTAATGATGCATATGTTGTTACAATAAGACCTTGTCAAACAAAATCTTTATATACAAAACTATCAGTTCAAGACTTAGTTTTATTTGATATTGTTGCATAATTATTTTAATCATCAATTGTATCTAAATAGAAATTTTAAAAATTTAAATTAAATGAAAGTGAATTTAAAAACATAATTTCCTACTTGATGATCGAGCTGCATCTTCATCATCATCACTGTTATTTTCAACGATTCCTTCATCACTTTCATGTATTGTCGATGGTGTCGCTATTGTTGATTTTCCAGTTAATGATTGTTCATTATCATGTAAAGATATAGATTTTGGTGAATGTGTATTTGCTAATTTTAAACTATGTCGAGCTGGTTCAAGTGTACGAACTAATATATTTTGTTGATGTAGAGCTGAACCCTTTAAAGTTTTAATACCAGTTGTACTATTTATTCTAATAGATTTTAAATGTAATTTGATGTGTTGTTAAATCTTTCGGTAGTATAACTCCTTTTTTACGTAAGATATGTCGCGTATAACGACCGCATTTTCTATAAAAAAATTGAATTGACTAGTTTTAAGAAAGTGATACAATAGAATAAAATATTTACTTGAGTGTTGCATATTTTTGTTTATTTATAAAAGGATTATCAATACTGTATATTGAAAAACAAAATGTTTGAAAAACAGATTCTGCATAACGTTTTTCAACAAGTTTTGTACGAAACTTTAATGTCATCAAGAAGGCATTCACCATTAAAAAAGATTACTGTCAACTAAAAGAAAAAAGAGAAAATGATCATTTGTTTTTTGTTTAAAAAAAGCAGCAAAACAAACTTGAAATATTGCTGATCGTAATTGAATACCATTATGACGACAAACAGTCGAGTTAATTCACGAATCAATGAAGAAATTGGAAACCAACGATTGCATAATCATTTGCGACTAAAATCGAAATCAAGGTTAAAACATTTTATTAATAATACTTCATTTCTTCCTATGAGCACAATTTGTAAGAACATCTGTTAGCGCAGCTATAATTGGATTGAAATATAAACATCAATACAGCTGCTGTTGCTATCGGGGTCTTCAGTTTGAACGCGGTTTTTATTATTTTCGGCTCTCGAGATCATCTTGTCAAAAACTGACGAAAAAGATGCGTACATTGAGAAGGTAAGAAAAAAACTCGTGACCGTCTACATGAATGCTTTGCTTTGCATCGCATTGAAAAAGATGTTAATACAAAAGGTCACTTTTACTTCTTGAAATCAATTATAATACTTACACGCAGCATTTATGGGCGTTTCTCTTATAAATAAAAACTTCGAATATTCCTGTATTATCAAGAAAGCAATTAGCCCGTTTAATTAAAATAGAGCGCAGATATTCATATTTTTTTGTTGCTGTGAGTCATCGGTGGGTTACATTGCGCTAAAATTGTTAAGAAGTAAGAAAACGAAAATGCAAATAACAGTGTTTATTATCTTCACACCCTCAACACATGAATGAACACTTAGTTTTAAAAAACAAAGAAACAATAAAAAAATCAACACAAATTTTACAACAACATAGTCTATTTACTTTCATCATCTTCATCTTCTTCGGTAGTTTCAGTGTCGGCTAGTAATAACCAATCAAAAAAATCTTTTGTTGCGTCAATCATAGCACTATAAATATTGATTTCTTCTTGATCTAGATTTTGACGCCATTTCTGAAACACCGCTTCACGTACACACTCTTCATCATAAAACACATCAAATAATAAGCGAGCCATTTCTACAAGAAGAAGAAAAAGGTACTTTTTGTCGTATTTCTCCGTGTACGATCTTTTACGAGCGTGCTATTCGACCTGGGCACTCACTTGGAGGATATTCTAATTTGACGATAAAATTTTGTATAGCATAAAGAACTTGAATCTCTTTTTCGTTGTCATCATGAATAGTTGATTTTAAAATGCAAATTCCTTGTCTTATAGCATATTCATCAATTCTCGCCTTTGTTGGATTTTGAACAACGAGGCACGACTCCAAATACGATAAAATGATATTTTGTATGTAATATTTATCAGATGGATTCATTTTCTAAAAGAAACAAAAACGTATTGTAGAACTTAGAGTCGATGTAGTCGAATTTCAAGCAGTACTGGAACCGGTTCGGTTCGGCCAGTAAACCTGCCGATTGAAATTGCACATCCAATCAGTGAAAATCACGGACCCATGTGAAAAAAAGAGCACGAAGATCATATAAGATTAAAAGACAATCAAAAACTGTAATATTCATACTGGATGACCCTATGAAATCGTACAAAAACGTTACAGTAAGATTCTTGCATAATCTGAAGGTCTGTTTGTTGTAAGATCCTATATAGTCAGATAAGATCGTAGCTATTTATAATAGGCTCGACATCAAGTGAAAATTTAATCATAGATTTAAAACAAAAATCATCTTTTTTTATTTAGATTTGGTTCACTATCAAACACAAAGGTAAGTACGAATTTATAAAATAAAAACTTATTTCCTTTCATTTAGATTGAATTCAACGATAAATGAAAAGGTAAGTATGAATTTTTAAGAACTATGATTGGTTTCTTTATTTAGATTTGGTTCAACATGTACTAAGAAAGTGTCAATCAGAAAAGATGGCTTGCGAGCACATTCAAGTGACAGTTAACACAACGACTCTATTGAGTCGAACCTTTAATCAAGTGACGAAAATAATATTTGTCTTGAGCATATTTTTACTTATTCTAATCAGAAAAGGCGACTTTTCAACCGGTTCGATCCAGTACTGGTGTAACGCACCGCTTTAAATTCTGAATTGGAGTTAAAACAAAGTGCACTTGCCTCTTGAATATGCAGATAAATTTCTTTTTCTTGTGTGTTCGAATCGACCTGTTGTTCGTTGATCGAGCGAAATAATTTTACCAAGTTAATATCTGAACGAGCCATAGTTGTTGTGGAAGACCATGATGATTGTAATACAGCAATGACTTGTGTAGAAGAAGATGCAAGAGATGGTGTTGATAATTGTGTTATTTCATTCCGATCTATTAGTGTTGGATTTAATAGCCAATCATAAGCGGACAGAAATTGTTGATCAAGCACGACAGGTTTCAATAAATCGTTAAATGTTAAACCGGACAATTTCCATAGTGAAATAAATTTCGATTTCGACTATGAATATAAAGAATATAGGACACATTGTGAACTGTATACCGGACAGAGATACTGGATAAAAAAAAGAGAAGTGCCTACTTCTCACCTTTCTCTCCAACAACAGCAGACGAGTGTTTTTTTGTTCATAAAACCACATTACGAAAGCTTCTCATCAGAAAATATAGCAGCTGCCTCGAACATTTGACTTTCGAAACTAAATCAAACACAAATGTTACTCGCCTAGATCACTTTCTCTATCATCTATCAAAATAATATTTTTATTTATTTATGTAGGACTTTACTACTTTTGTCTATACCACTTACTGAAATTTGTTGTGCATATTCAATGATATATGCGATCACTTCTTTTGAATTTTGAACAGGTACTTTGTCCATGATTGTTTTTAATATTGAAATATTCATCATTGATTGTGGCTCAGCACTACCAATAAATGTACCAAGTATTTCACCAATAGGTCGCCAAATAGAAGTCGAGAAACTATCTGCTATTTCGAATACATTTAATATCCTTAACAGAACATATTAACAATCATTCAAAGATGAAAAAAATAGAATGAACAATATACCCATTCGTAATTCCATCCATATTTAATACTTGCTCTTTCTGTGCTGAATCCAATAAACATCCTACGACAGTCACTATTTTCGGTTTCAATTTTAAAACATGTGTTATTAGTTCACGAACAAATAACGCTTGATCCAGTGGGAAAATATGAGACAAATCTTCAACGGCTAACTAAATAATCAAAAATCAACGAAGAATGTTTGCAATAGTAAAAATGAAGATACGATACAAATTATCGATTCACTCAGTTTACAGCTATACTCAAAGACTAAATAACAGCAAAAAGCTTACGTGTTCAATATTGATCGTTTCTAAGTTGTATCTATAGCCTATCTAATAAAGGAAGGGAATAGATTTTTATACGAACTTTTATGCGATCAATGATGGGCATGTGCGATGAATTTTCAGTATATTGTTCAACGAACTCATAAATAAACTGTGAAATTATTTGTGATTGTAATAGTGATGCACCAGGTCCAACTGGATTATGGTATAGCCATTGTGTAACATTTTCACGTTTATGTGAATCAAATGATATGTTCAATAAATTTTCAACATAAAATACGACGTTATTCAAATCTTCATCATTTAATAAAAATTCTTGTTGCTTTAATCGTGCATTATTGAACGAACTATAGCAATGCAGAGCTAAAAGTCGATGAAATGGTCTTTTTTCATTATTAAACATCAATGATAATCCATGTATACTACCAAATGTATGAGGTGAGACCGGCGTAATTCTTTTTGATGACATTGTGTTGTTTAATAGAAAAATTTTTAATTCACCATTTTTTTTTATGATGGTTAAGTTTTGCGCATCGAAAGCTCGTTCAATTTCTTTGGTCAATCGTAAGCAGTTTCTCGGATTATCGATATCTGATAATTGTAGATCTAAAAACTGTAGGCCAGTTGACTTGGACTTCGGATAGATATGAGCCGTTACAACATGTTTCGATTTTTTATTGATTACACCCAGAACCATACATAAGTTTCTTTTCAAATTATAGAAATTCATCACCGACTCTCTTAGAGCTCTTCTTGTGGCTTCAGTTGAATAGTCTGACGGCAAATCATTCCACGGATCAGTAATACTTTTCAATAATTGATGGAAGATACCACGATCTGAAAACAAGAAACAAAATTGCTGTTAAACACTGCTATACAGACGAAGTAAAACCAAATAATTATGTTAGTATGTAAAAGTTTTTTTAACTTTGAAATTTTAAGTGTGAGAATGGTTCATCACTGCCACTCGTGTTTTAGAATGTTATTAAAAGTAAAATAATAGCAATCGAAAAACTTTGGTTGACTATTTCCACATTGTTGGAAAAAACAACGCTCGCTCATAGAGCATTTTTACGATAAACTAATAGTTCTAGACAACTCCCTTAAACGATATACATAGGAAATCGAAATGAACTTTGAGAATTCTCTGGACATAAGCAAATGTAACATATTATAATTCATCAGCCTATGCAACCGCTTTCGGTCGTTGAAAACTTATCATGCGTATGTTATCCACGGTATGTACTGCGCGAATTGTGATAAATGAACAGAATCTTATACGTGTATCCTTTTTGGCTATATGATGTCATGAATTAAATTCAAATAAATTACTGCTCTGTAATTTCCTCTTGAATTTTTTAGATCAACTATCCTCTTTATAGGGCCAACTCAAAATCGAGGTTTTGATCAAAAAAGAGATCGGAAGGAATGTATCCTTAAATGTCTTTCTTTATACGATTTAATTAAGACCTATATTATGATCATAGGTCACCGTCATGTTTCTAATAAAAAGAAATTGAAATGATTCTGAAAATAAATTACCTAACATGACATGGTTTCCTACTTAATAACACAACTATCAACTTGTTTTCTAACATAAGAGAGATATTCTTATAGAAAGCATAAAAAAAACATTTATTTACCTTTAATATTTACTTCATTATCACGATTAGTACCTGCAAGAAAGAAGGCAAAATATATTAATCAAGTTTCTTTTCAACTAACTAAATGTAAGAATTATTACAATAATCATTCTCAGAATAGACTCAATACGAATCTACTTGTCGATTAGCACGACTGTTCTATCTGTTTCCCTTGTGTTTTACAATTCACAAAGTCACTCACTTCATTAACCCTTCAACTTATGATGTTGATGACAGATAGGAAACAGTGTCAGAGAATGATTTTAACCAATACACTTGGCAATCTGAATGTGATCCATAATAAGATCTGATACTTTAGAATAAATGATTCGATGTTTCGATTAAATGAAAACCATATAAAAAATATGGGATCTTCCCTATTGAAAACTGAATGTATCAGGATAAGTTAGACCTGATTCCTGCTATCAGAAACAACTTTTTGGTTGATCACCTTCAAGATGAAGATTCTGTTTGTGCCCACAAATACATTTATAATCACCAACATTGCAAAAAGATATACATGGATCCACAGCGCCAATACATTTATAACAAATATTCTTAAACTCGGTCATTGGTCTGAAAAAAAATAACGAATATGCAATATCATCAAACAAAACGAACAATGGTGCATAAGGTTATACGAATAAAGCATACAAATATGATAAAAGTGATTTATTTCTATAAGTGCAACTATGTAGCAAGGCCACAATGGAAGAAAAGAATGGTTACCAAGTATTTATAACGATCGACACAGATCCAACATATACAATACGAAATAAATAAATACGAACTTTTTAAATGTTTTTGTTGTATATAGTATTGTGTGACGTTGTTAAATGTCTCACAATGCAAGTAATAATAAATATATCAACCAAACAGAGACGTGCACAGGACAAGATTTTTCGTTCTGTCCTTACCTGTCCTGCTGGCTACTTTGGTCCTGGCGGGCGTCAGGACAGGATAAAAATCGAAATCTCATCCTGTCCTCCAGGACAGGGCAGGACACCAGGACAGCAGGACCGCCCTGTCCTTTGCACGTCTCTGCAACCAAACTATTATTCATTTCGTAAAAGAAAATTATTGCACGACTTCATCGATATGGACAGAAGAAAGAAAGACACACATGCACCTGCACCTGCATTATTTGTACAACAATAGAGAATATTAGAAAATAGAAGCAATATTATCTGAACAAAAAACTGAAGTTATTTAATTTAATCACTATCATCAGATTGTGACGATTCATCATCTGCTTCTGATTAAGATTGGAAACGAATCTTATAGTGACGATATTTTGATGGTTGTTCCATAATCGTCATAACATTAAGGGCAGCTGTTTTGGTTGTTACAGCTTCTTTCTTTTCTTCTTATTTTTTACGATTATTCAATTGAATACCTAAACAAGAACGAAGCATGAAACAAAAGAGAAAAGAGTGGATTCACCTTTTTTTAATTCATCTAATAAATCAGAATGAAGATTACGTATATATAGTCGTTGATCTTGAATCGAAGTTTCTGATGAAACAGAAACATCATCTCAATGAGATGATGATAAAATATTACAATCTGAATTAGTTTTTATTAATGCCGATGTACATTCCGTTGAAGACCACATGACAAGCGATTGAATGAAAGAATTTGGTGAAGGTAGTGCCGATGGAATATTTGATGACATTGAAGATGGAGGAGTCGGTGATGTTTGCGATTGTTCAATCAAACCAGCTGGTGGTTGAGGCAAATTATCAATCTCTAAAATAGTTGCAAGCGTTGGTATACCGATATTCAACGACAAAGGCGGTGCTGGCAGTGAAGTTGATGAACTAGCTGATAGCCCAGCAATTGTTTTTTTCATTGGATGATGTTGCGTCATATGATGATTTGGTTCAAATTGTGATAATAATGGTGGAGGCGAAATTTGGTGAGTAATCATTGATGAAGGGATATCAAATTTTGATGATGGTTCTATATTGTATATATTTTATGGTGATTTCAGTGTACCTGCACTACTGAAATTCATTGTCATTGATTATTGTTTCTGGCACGATGATGATAATGTCCAGCTATCGTACTGTACTAAATCTGATTGTTCATAATAATTATTATTTGGATATTGTAAACGAAGACCATGATTTGTTGTTGAATAACTTGTTGCTGTTGTGATCGCATATTAGTACGAGATACAGATTCATATTTTCCTCGATGGTGTATCAGATCTTGAGGACTACAGTATTGTTGTTCTTCAGATGACTATCGAATAGGATGAAATTGAGATGATGATGTTGAATTTGTTTGCTGCATAAATTGATTCTAGATAATTTGATTTCTGTCCTTTCTATAAAAAAAAAAAAGAAAACGAAAATGCACATTTCCGCGTTGAAACATTTGTTATTCTTTTATTTGCATACCGGCGACCGATGTCGTTCATGTTTACAGGATCGCTTTCTATGATGATATAGTGAAAATTGTATCATTGATTGCATCCATAAATTGAAAAAGAATGATGGATCAATATAAAATTTCATTGCATCGCGACCATTATATCTACAAAAAAGCAGAAAAAGGTTAATTCAATTTTTTTATTAAAAGAAACTACAAACTAATAAATATTAAGTAAATGAAGGGCAGATATTAGTTCAGCTTTTCATAAAGCAAAACGAAGTGATTGTGGTATTGTTGCACTTGTTGATTAATACGCGTCAGTCTCACAAATTGTTTTCGATTATTTACATCTTGCATTCAGGCCTCGCAACGGAGTTTGATAAAAAGAAGGATTTTGAGAAGGGAATTTTTTTTAAAAAAGAAGGAAATTAATTGAAAAGAAGGAAAAGAAGGATGAAGAAGGACGCCCCTTAAAAACAAGGAAAAAACTAGGAAAGAAGGACCTCTGCGAGGCCTGTGCATTGTTACTAGAAAAAACAATTTATTTGTATTACATTTTTTTATAAGAAAATTTAAATAAACCTTCTTCAATAATTGGGTTTAAAACCATTATTAATGTCTATGTGTCTTTACCAATCGTCTCTCAATTTTGATTCGTTAGTTCGTGGCCAATACATATGAAGGGTGTGGGTGTGGGTGTGGGGTGTAGATGTGGATATGCAGGTGCTGTTCAATGCACTCAGATCCACACCACAGTGATGAACTTATTCAATATTTTTCTGCACGGGATTAGCTAATGACGGCCCAGGTCATTATCGATCCGTCGGTTCTTGTCGAGCGGGTTATAATTCCGATGTCACATGGTGACCGGATTCGGTCGGTTAATTTCTGGCGAATTCCGATGCTTTTCCTTGTTTTCTTCTGAAATCTGGTTGCCGGATTCTCCGAGAACCGGTCAGATTTATATTGCCGGAAAATATCAGGTTAGATGATACGATTGGGCCGTAACCGACGTGATCCGACAATATCCGGTAATTAAACTTTACCGGAATCCGCCGTGCCGCATGACGCTCGATTTCATGGTAGATCCGGCTTAATCAGTATCACCGGAACCAATCGGATCATATCAGAACGGAACGGTCCTACTAACCGGATTAAGCCACTTACTACAACACAGATCCGACCGAAACCGTCAGTATGTAATTAACGAATACTAAAGGAACACCTTGCAATTCATTCAAACTATTACTTAACAACTCACACAAACGGTGATACCCATGAATTGAAAATTATAGTCGATCCAATACAATTTTTACGAAAAAACAATAAAAATCAGCAAAATGATCACGTATTTACTTATCCTGAGCGAAGTTATCGCCCCGAAAGATGTTCACTCAAGTCGTTAATCATAACTCCTACCAATATAACTTGATTCGACCACCATCTCCTGGTCTAACGCGAAATCCAGAGCCATCTATGATAACCCAGGGCGAGATAAAATTGTTACCTATCCATACCATGTTACCCGTCGATACGATTCGACATCATTTGAAACCCAGAACGAACGTGTTTGCTCCGTCTGGTGCCACCGCAAGCATACTTTCGAATTACCAACAAACCCACTGCGGGATACTAAGATATAGATTACACAAAATATAAATTAGGTCCGATAACATTATTTCGTCATCGAATGTCACTCAGAATCAAATTAGCCAGGGAACACGTCTCTAGCAACAGTCCAAAATGATAATCAGAACGACTCTGCAATCCTCAGTGAATTTCTCGATTGGTCAAAGGTGGCCAGAGGACCTATTTTCCTCATACGTAAGTGTGGTTGGATTCCGCATGAAAGATGCTCAAAATCCTGTTTCATGACGAAAAGGTAGGCTTCCATAATGTAAAATAGTTATCCGAACGATTCTCCAAGCCTTAGTGACTTTTTCGATAGGCCCAGGTTCAGCTGTAAACTCATTTTCGGCCACGAAAAGTGTGGTTGCATCCGTAACGAAAGATGCTTAGAATCCTGTTTCAGGAAGAAAAGGTACCATGGAATCACCTAAAATGGTTATCAGAACGATTCTCCGAGTCTTAGTGACTTTTTCGATAGGCCCAGGTTCAGCTGTGGATTCATTTTCGGCCACGAAAAGTGTGGTTGCATCCGTAATGAAAGATGCTTAGAATGCGGTTTTACGAGGAAAATGTGCGTGGAAATCATCGAGAAACATTATCCGAACGATTCTGTACGACTGTTACAATCGTTTCATTTTTTGGCAAAATGATACCTGGAGCGATGTTCTTTCAATTGTTTTCTTAACGCAAGGTCCATTTTATAGGTTTTCAAATTAATCAATCGATGAAATGTAAGTCGTGAGGATCCAAAATTACATTCGTTTGCATCTTGTATTAATTACTAATGATTTCGATGGGTGCAAAATGATGCTTGGACCGATTTTGGGTTAATTAGTGTGACCAGTTACTACTCTTTAATGATGTTTAGAATTATAATAATTGATGACAAGGTTAGTGTTGATGATCCCGAATGACATTTAGATGCATTTTCTATTATTTATGAATGATTGCGATGGGTGCAAAAT